CATTTACCCATTAATGGAAATCTAGATGGTTTCTTTTTACTCCTGTGTCTCAGTATTTTTACTTCCATGTCTCAGTTTTTTAAAAAATAAACTTTATTTTTTACCACAGTTTCAGATGTACAGAAAAATTGTCAGAGTACAGAGTTCTTACAGAGTTCTCCTATACCCTTGCATCTATTTTCCCTATTTCCATATTAGCATGGTAAATTTATTTGTTACAATGCTGTTAATGAGTTTCCAGATGAATTCTTTGTGGATGTTAGTATTCTGTTTTAGAAGTTGGACATCATAAAATGTCTTCTGTTTAAATGTTTAGGCCCTTCTCTACTGCAGGCCTATGATAACCATTTTTGGCCATTGCAATCACAGAGAGTAGGATGGCCATTGTGTTTTACATCTGCCTCGCAACACCTGTTACCGAGGCCGTTCTGCCTCCACAGTGGAAGTCTTTTGCTGAGCACACCCATGGAACACGAACAGTGATGCTCGGCACCCATTTCAGTGGGCCCGCCTCATCCACAGGGCTCTTCCCCGGGTGTCCTCGTCACCAGTCCTCTAACCTCGCCTCTTTCAGGTCCTTCTCCGCGTGGCTGAATGTGCAGCAACTGCCCATCAGGCCGTCTTTTCTCAGCCAGAGTAGACCATGGCTATGTTGTTTGATGTTCTGTTGCAGGGAGAAGTGTCTGCTCTACTGCCTTTTCCGAGACCACCCTTTGAATGGATATAATGTTGTAATAGCCCCCTTATGACTTGTGACAATGGAAGGTCAGTTGGAACTGCCATACTCCTGTATAATAGAGAGAGAGAGAGAGAGAGAGAGAGAGAGAGAGAGTGTGTGTGTGTGTGTGTGTGTGTGTGTGTAAATCTGGTTCTCTGAGTATAGCTCTTTCTGATTAGTACTCCCCCACACTTTTCACATAAAAAACTTAGTTAAGACCCTGACTTCTATGATGTAATGATTTATCACCCTTTGATCTTTTTTCTTGTCTTATCCTCTAAGAGATTCAAAGTATCTTTTTGATATACATAGGAAGTCCCTGAGTTTCCCTGTTAGCCTGGAATCAAGAATTTAGAGATTGTGCATGTAATTCTTCGTTTCCACCCCTTTTTCAGGTTCTCCAAGACTCTTACTATTTCTGTGAGCTCTTTGATATCTTTTCATTAAATTCCTTTTCCAACCAGAATTAGTTTCTTGTGCTTGCAACTAAGAACCTAGACAGTTAAAGACATTAGTTTTAGGGGATGGATGTAGAAAACAGAACCTTGGAACCTGTGAAAATAATAAATAGTTTCAGATGGGTTGGAGATAACTCAGGTTTTATTATTCAATAATTTTCAAAATACTAATGAATTTCCAAAATGTCCCTCAAACTTCAAAAGCAGTGACAACAGGTTCTCCAAATTCTCAGTGGGAACTTTCTCCTAGTGAACACAGGTAATAATATATAGTAATTTTGAAAATTAATTAGTATTTTGAAAATTAATGCGACCTGAGTCTTTAACTCTTTGGATTGCTGGTACAAATAAAAGAAACCAACTCTGGTTGGAAAAGGAATTTATTAGAAGGATATTGAAGGGCTCACAGAAATAGTTAAGAGTCTTGAACGCCCTGAGAAAGTCGTGGTTGGGGACCAAGGCAGATCTGGTAAGGCAAGAGCAAGAAGTCCAGCCATTGTCTTTTTATCAGGATTAGTTTGGCCATGATGCCAACAATTCTTACCACTGCCCCTTAAGGACAGCATTGCCACCAGACACTGCCATGCCACTACTGTCACTAGAAACCACTCTAGTCACCATGAATGAATCCTAAGCACCTCTTTGTCTTTGTGTCATGCTCTTCACATTCAAAGTCTCAAGCTGAGTCAGAGTCCAAATCATACACAGGGTGCTGGGTACTCATTTTCACAGAATGAGAGGGGCCTTCTGTAAAGAGAGTCCGGGCGTTATGAGGGAGGCTAGGCACTTCCATGATGGGATTGGTGGACCTTTGGCCCATTTACGTGCAATGTGGAGGTCATCCTTTCCAATCTGTAAGCCTTTTGTTTCTTTTTCTTGCCTGCTGGCATTCACTAGGACAATCAATATCACGTTTAGTAGTATTGGTGTGAGAGAATAATTTTGTCTTTTTCCTAATCCAGAGAAACGGTAATGTAGTCTTTTTCCATTGAGTTTGGCATTAGCTTTAAGATTTTTATAGCGGCTTTTAATCAAGCTGAGGATGTTCTTTGTTACTCATTTGCCGATGGTTTTGATCATGAGTGGATTTTGAATTTGTCAAATGGCTTTTCTGCATCTTTTGAGAGGATTATATGTATTTTTCTCATTGTTTGCTAATATGATGAATTATAGTGATTGACTTTTAATGTTGGACACATCTTGAATTACTTGGTCATGACGTATTATCCTTTTTAAATACTGCTGAATTCTGTTTGCTAGTATTTTATAGTAATTTTAAATCTGTGGGTCTTAAAATTTAAAAACTTACTCAAAATTTAAAAACTTATTCATGAAGGATATTGATCTCATTAATTCTTTGTCTGATTTTTGTATCAAGGTAATGCTGGCTTCAAGTTAGAAGTATTTTGTCCTATTCTGCATTTGAAAGCTTGTGTAGAATTGGTATTCATTTTTTCTTAAATACTTGGTAGCATTCATCAGTGAAGCCATCTAAGGCTTGGAATTTTCTTTGTGAGAAGGTTTTAAACTATGAATTGTTTCTTCAATAGACTTAGGAATGTTTAGATATGGTATCTTTTAAGGAGTTTAGCCATTTCATCCAAGATGTTGAATTTATTGGTTTAAAGTCATTCGTAATTGCTTTCCTATTCTTTAATGCTTGTAGGATCTAAAATGATGTTCCCTCTCTCATTCCTGGTATTTGTAATTTGTGTCTTTCCCTTCTTCTTTCCTTCCTTCCTTCCTTCCTCCCTCCCTCCCTCCCTTCCTCCCTTCCTTTCTTCCTCAACTGAGGACATGCTTATTGATTTTGGAGAGACAGGGGAGGGGAGTGGGGAGAGAGAGGGAAAGAAGCATCAATGTGAGAGAGAAACTATGATTGGTTGCCTCTTGCATGCACCCTGACTGGGGACCAAACTGTCAACCTAGGTATGTGCCCTGACCAGGAATTGAATCCCATGACCTTTTGGTTTATGGGACCATGTGCCAACCACTTTCGACATGTTCGATCAGTCATAGCACCTTCTTCACACACTGCCCATAACAGGCCAAAAATGTGTATTTTCTTTCATCTTCAATATTAAAATGGCTGCACAAAAATGCACCAATTTTGATTAGTTTTTTTAAATGCATGTGACATGACAGCTGTCACAATACAATCTAACAAAATTGTTTTGAATGAAGTTAAAGACAACTATATGCAGTATACTAGACCAATGTATGGAAAAAATGTAATGGCCTTTTTGACCAACCCAATAATTTTCTTTTTTTTCCTTCATTTTTTTAAGGTAGAAGCTTAGATCATTGATTTGACATATTTCTTCTTTTTCTAATATAAATATTTTAATGCTGTAAATTTTCCTGAAAACACTGCTTTAGCTGTTTCTCACAAATATTGATGTTGTAGTTTATTCAGTTCCAATTCTCTATTTCTTTAACCCATGGTTTTGTGGGGTTTTTTTTAAATTTTCAAATATTTGTGCATCTTCCAGATTGCTTTCTGTTATTTTTTTACTTTGTATTTTTGCTGCCTCTGGCTTTTTTGAGGTGCTTTCTGGGAGATCACCATCTAGGTTTGAGGAGAAGACACGGGTCTGAGCCCCCGTGGTACGTGAGGGGACCACAGGCCACTGGAGCTTGTACTGGTGGGCAAGTGTATTTATGTGTCAGTCGTGGGCCTCTCTTTGGCTGGCGTGTGAGAAATGGGACCGGCCCTGCCGCCACCCCTGCCATGTTCCAATAGCAAAGCTAAAAATGAGAATTTGTTAAAATTCTCCATCCAAGGCAACCACATCCCTCACCCCCTCCACCACTGCGCACCTGTGAACTTCCGCGGCCAGGCATCTGCTGTTTCAGAGGAAGCAGAATCTTCTTCATAGAAATTGAATGACCCCAGAGGAGGCCGTGATGGCAGATCTAAACTCCTTGCTGGAAGAGCTGAGGGTGGATTCCTGGACCAGCCCTGGAGGACCTGCAGAACAGAGGGGGCGGCCATCTTTGTTCTCCCCAGAACCCTCTACAGAGGCATCTGCTTCATATATCACATTTCTTACTGGCTGTCTGTATTTAATATATAACTTTAGCCTTGTGGTCTGTATGTGGTATGCCAATATTTATGAGAGTGGAGCTATCCGTCTTGACATACGTGTAGATGACTGATAGATAAAGAGTAGGATCTGCCCCCTAGAAGGTGGAACCTCACTCGTAATGTTAGAATTACCCCATTCAATGCGGTCTTACTTTTAACGGACCAGTGCCCTAAATTATGAATAGTATTTTGCCAGGCAACTGGATTACAGATAATTTTCATCTCAGCACATTTCTGTATTTTCTAACTTCTCTACAATGAACATACATTACTTTTGTGTTCAGATAAAACATTTAAAAATATTAAGGTAAAAATCTGTAGGATTATGAAACATAAACATCGAATCGAATCTAATGAGCATGGCCTAAGGTACAGGCACTATGAAACTAATGATTTAACAGCAAATTAGGTTGATCAGAATTGTCTCTAAAGGTGTTTGCAAGAGAAAAAAATTGATAAAAGCTTTTTAACAATATCAGCTTGACTTCTCCATGAACAACAATTGCAGAAGTCCCAAGGAAAGCTGCCTGACGCCGCTCCCTAGGCCAGAATTCCCGAGCAAAGGCAAAAGTCCCTTGTAGTGTGTATTCAACAGGACTGGAGGAGCCATGTCTCTTCTGCTGGGCCCCCCAACACTGGCGATGGTGCTCCCACCGCCCTCAGTTTTAGAGAGGAAATGGGTACCTACCTTCCGTTCACTCGCTGACACACTTGTCTCCCTCTGTCCTTCCCACAGGCGGCTGGCTAAGAGTCTCGGGCAGGCTGGTGAAATCGAGCCTGAAACAGAAGGAATACTTACAGAGTATGGTGTGGATTTCTCTGATTTCTCTTCGGAAGTTCTAGAATGTCTCCCTCAAGGCTTGCCCTGGACAATACCACCAGAGGAATTCAGCAAGAGAAGAGATTTAAGGTAAATATCTGAAGCTCTTTAAAAACATGTTTCTACCTTTCTGCCTTTAACCTAACTTTCCAAGGCTCAGGTGTTTCCTCCTTTCCATCAACATTCATGTTCAGTTCAGTTGAGAATTAAGTGCTCAATACCAAAGGTTGTCAAATTCTGGCCCGCCAGCTAAACCGAGCCCACTGCCTACTTACATATAGCCCATGAGCTAAGAATTACTTTATATTTTTAAGTGGTTCAAAAAAATTAAAACAAGAGTAATCTTCGAGGAAAACTGTGAAATTTAAACTTGAGCGTCCATGAAGTTGCCCTGGAACACAGCCATGCTTATTCAGTTACATGTTACCTGGGCGTGTGTTTTCACACCACAACGGAAGAGTTGAGTTGTTGCAACAGAGACCTGTGGCCTGCAACGCCTAAGATATTTGCTCTTTGGCCCTTTATAGAAAAAGTGTGCTGACCCCTGCTCTAGACCATCCTGATTTCAAAAGGTACTGTTGCCACATTCCTTTGGCATTGCTCTGCCCTGTAGGTCTGCTCGAATAAAGACAGTGTCATCTGGTTAGAAGTGCCTCCCTTTAAGTGGGCCTCTTCAGGCACAGAGCAGAGGATTCAAGCCTCTGCTTGGAGCTTCATTTTAAAGCTTTACTTTTAGGTCTGGAATTTGTTGGAAAGTACTTTTGTGGTATTTTTATAACAACATCTTCTTTGAAGATGTTTCTTCATTGTGGGATGTTAGTTCTTTTCTGATATTTCTCTTTAGAATTTGGTTTCAGTACTGGCATTCGTTTTGGATGCCACATGGAGATATTTAGAACCAAGAAACTTTTCATACAACCCACTGAGGCTGTGGAAGGTTTTTGCTGAGGTCATCCCGTGTCAGAGTCTTTTCCACCACACTTGCTCACTCCGTGCAGCTGAGCTTACGATGCCTTCTGCTCTTCCTCCGCTGAGTTCGAGAATCCTCCTTCTGTGCTCCCTCTTCCTATGGTATCTTTTAGGAATTTACTGCTTTTTTTCCTTTTCTTGTGGAGGGCAGGCAAGGAAAAGGAGATGACACTTAGCCCCCTGTCCTATGTGTTAGGAGGTCTGGTGGAACACGTTGCATCCGAGGCCGCTACTATCCTGGCTTTCAGCAGGAACAGCCGTTCTGGGAACTTGGGGGTCTGTTATCTCATTTCAGTGGCGTTGAGAGCCTTAAACCTTTGTTTTCTCGGGTACAAATTGAGGGGATTCTTTTCTAAGATCTTTTCCTAAATCTTGGAATCTATAAAAAAATTTAATGAGAAAAGGTCAGAATGAATGGCTGAACTTTATTGTTTGAACTATGTTAGCATAGCCATTCTGCAGTCACTATCAACATTTTAAATGTACCTACCCTTTCACCCAACACTCCACTTCTAGGAATCCATCCTACTCAAAGTAGTGTATGTTCATTACGGCTTTATTGTAAGGGTGACGCTGCTAATGTCTATCAGTGAAGGATGGTTAAATTACCTATGTCCTATCAGTAAGATAGCATTCCCTACAGCTGCAAACAAGGCGCCAAATCCATGTCCACTGTCCTAAAATAATGGCTGTTACATAAGGCAAAGGAAAAGAAGCACATTTCAGAAGAATATGAATATGAGCCTACTTTTTACTTGGTCAAATAACATAAAATCTATATAAATGTATATATACACACATATACATACATGTGTACACATAAAAGTATATATGAATAAAATAATTCCTGGAAGGAAAAGAAATCCAGACCTTTTTCTATGGTGATTGACAGTGTGTGGACTCAGTGGAATAGTAGACAGTATATTACTTTCCATTTTATAAATTGCTGTATTATTTAAACTATTTAAAAATAACTTACCACTTTAAAAAATTTTAAGTGGGACTATCAGAAAAGACAGGTGCTCTTCCCTGACTGGTGTGGCTCGGCTAGTTGGGCGTCATCCCACAGAGCTAAGGGTCGCCAGTTCCACAGCAGGACACAGGCCTGGCTTGCGGGTTCCATCCTCATCCCCGGTTGGGGAGCGTGCAAAAGGCAACCGATCAATGTTTCTCTCTCACATTGATGTTTCTCTCCCTCTCTTTATCCCTCCTTTCTCCTCTCTGAAAAAAGAAATAGATGAAATCTTTTTTTAAAAAAGGAAAAGAAAATGGAGGTGCTCAATCATTTCTAGTCCTACTCCCGGCCTGAAGATGAATAACAAGGCGCTTCAACAGCCATAGAGCCCGGTGTTGCTCTCGGTCCCCTCTGTGGCTCTGCCCTGCCTTTTCCTTGGGTCTCCATTGCCTTCTGGGTGGACCACAGAGGAGGCCTTGCTCTGTGGAAAGCCAGTTATTAAAATACACCCACGTGTCCAGCGAAGGGCTGCAGAGATACAGGGGGCTTATGGGATGCTCTCTGCTGTTAGCATAGCTAGTAAAAGGGATTAAAAAAAAAAATCACTTTAACTCCCAAACCCTTTCTCCCTGCCTTTTGTCTCTAGGATTATGTTTCTAGAATTCAAATCTGATTTTCTTTTACTTCTTTGGCCTAAAATCTTTCAACTGCTTCCTGATGCCCGAAAGTAGTAATCTCTAAACTTTGTTGAACATGCATTCCCAATAATGTATGTCTCTTTATTTTAAAATTACCACCGTACTGACTATTTTACTAATCCATTATGTGCATTGTAAATTTACATAAAAGTAGTAAAATGAGAATGAAATAAATTTTAAAATATTTTTGTTTTACTTAAAAAGGTATAGGAAACTTCATATTAATTTTACTTTGAATGAAAGTAATGTGATTGAATATTCTTTATTTTTTAAAATTTTGCTTTAACAGCTTATGATATGGAAATACAAAGATCTGATTATAAGTTCTGTAAATTTGATACTTAGTTTTGTTTTTAATGGCTGTCATAACTGAAAAAGATACCTGAACTTATGAAATCACAGTACTCATTTTTTATCCTATTCATTGATATTCAGATTCATTTTGCAGTCCAGCTAATTTCCATCTTTCATGTCAGTTCTTGTAGACTAATTGAAAGGTGCTGCATTGTTAGATTTTTTTTAAAAAATGGGTTCATAATCCATGGTTATTCTTCACCTGGCATCTTTAAACATTAGTTAGAAAATTGTGTTAGGATATTTAAGTGTATAGACACAAGTAGTTTTAAAGTTTATACACTTAGATCATTTTCGGTCCCCAAGCTGTGGAACAATGGAAATATTTCAAAACATACATTTTTAAAATTTTATCTTCAACTCTTGAGTTTCTTGTTCTGTTTTATTTTAATATCTTTTTTTCATTGTTAAAACGTTACCTTTACTTTGAAGGGACGGATTAAGTGTGTTTAATTTTGTCTAAATATCTTCTCAGTAGCATGTGGTTGACAGTCATTAGTTTTTAACCCCCATCTGAGGGTACGTTTTTCTTGATTCTAGAGAGAGAGGAAGGCGTGGAGGTAGGGGGGAATGAGAGAGAGACAGAGAGAGAGAGAGACATCGCTAGGTTGCCTCCCCTCCGTGCCCCGTGGAGATCAAACCTACTACCCAGGCATGTGCCCTCACCTGGATTCAAGCCCATCACCTTTTGGTGAACGAGACAACACTCCAGTCAGCTGAGCCACCCAGCCAGGGGGACATTCACAGTCTTGAAATCATAATGTGACTGATTATGAATTCATATAAGGAGAGGAAGATGTGTCCCAGTGTTGGTAGTATTAGTATTTTTATTAGTTTAGTGTTATCTGTAATCTGTGGATCTTTGCAATAATCTTTTTTAGTCACTTGCCTGTGTTATAAGGATTAGTTTAGCTAAAACTAGATAATTCCTGTAAATACCCATGGATGGGGATGGCTAAAAAAGCCTTTTGGCCTCGGAAGGAACTACGGGAGTGCCGTGTCGCTGCCTTGGTGGCCTGCAGTGCCAGCTCCCAGCTGCACCGCCACCCCGACCTGAGCCGTGCACCTTGGCAGGTGCCTGGGTAATTCGTGTGGTCATGGGTAAGTGTTTATTTTTACAATAAAAGACATAAAGAGAAGTCCATAGTATGCGGAAGAATTTGGATTTGATTACTTTCCTTTCTATCTGACTGGTCTTGTGATAGATTCATTAAGTTTTTCAACTAACGGATATTTACTGAACACCATCCATGAGCAGTGGGGAATCAACAATGAACAAATGTAGCCATGGTCTCTGTTCTCGTGGAACTCTCAGTCTTAGCGGAAGAACACGAACCCAATGCTAAACAATAGTCAAACATGAACTGGCACTGGAGGAGAGGGGTGCATGGCACAAGGTCGTATGATACAATGATTTCTTTTCCTCACGTTCGGTTCAGTACCTTCACAAGGGTTTTATGAATATTGATTTTCCCAGGAATGTCAAAAGAAGTAGGAATGAGTCCCAGCACACACTAAAAACATGTGCTATGAATAAATTAACACGTATTCCATAAATTCCCAAATAAAACCTCCTAATCTTTTCCCTTTTCCTCCCTTCTTCTCTCCTGTATATACCTATTTACATAAATTGTTATACTTGTATATGCGCATATATCATATATGACAAGTAATAAGTTCGTCACTGGAAATACTAAGACAAGGAAGGCCCAGCCTTCGTTCTTCAGCACTGCACTGTTGGGGAGATTCACGCTCAGGTAGATTACAGCAGAGGATGGCGAGTGCTGCAACACTTGCGTGAGCAACCTGCCGAGGTCATTGGCGCTTGAGCTGAGATCTGAGAAATGAGCAGGCATAGGGCAAACGAGAGTGACTAAAGTAGGCTTCGTTTCCATGGTAAGCTGTGGCTGCAGACAAGGTGACATGTTCCCCGACGTGCCTGGATCCTTTCGTAACCGGGCTCGCTACCCCTGGGGTTTCGATAGCTTCTTGACCCTCCCTGCTGAGCCGCCCTGCCATGGAACTTGCAGTGTTTCTCTGGCTCTAGCTATGCAAGGGCTTCAACATACCCGTTTAGGTTTGGTATTTGAACAATTATATTTGGAACAGAAAAG